TTGACATATATAACGTTAGTTCTATATGTTCATCCGATGATCGTAGTAACGACGAAGGACAAGACAATAGACTTAATTAGTTTCGACCGTAAGTTTCTTTATTTTAGAACAATTACTTACTTTAATAGAAGAACAATTCCTCTGTTAATTTGAACAATAACTCTGTTATTATGTACAAACATGCAACTTAGCTGATTGTTAATATAAGGACAATCACTGTCTAAAGTTATACTCAACATTCGAAGTGAAAAACGAAATGACACAATGGATTCCAGATCAGTTAAAGATCTGTTGATATGGAAGTCGAAATTATTTAAGTAATGCGGAAGAAAGAATTTTCAAATGGAATGCGACTACATTAGTAAGTTTAAAACTATGAGAAAGTTGAATATGTTACCTTAGAATCCTGTAAAACCAATTCAATTGAATACGGTATTTGCGGGTTAAAGCGATCCGGCATTATCCACATTCGAACGACTCTAACTTTGAGATTCCATTGCATCGAGTTGGATGATATTTGTTTGATATCATGAATTTGTGTGGCCATACTTGCAAACTAATTGTAATCAGACTGTAGTAGATGAAATATGAAGTTGAAAAGGTTTTGAAAATATAAAGCACATAAGTCATGGAGTTATAGATGTGTATATAAAATCGGGATTTTTGAGTTGGAAGACCACGTTTGAGAGCACGATCAGTCGTGGGATAATGGAGATTGTCTTGCCTTTGAGATGCCGACTGTTTTGTTGGAATAACTGATATTATTCCTCCTTTTTAAAAAAAACGTATGTATAAAAAAGTTAAAAAAAAAGTACTTGCAAATTGTGGATGGTAGTTATGGAGTAAAAGACGGCAACTTAGAAAGTGGAGGAATCTTTTCCTTGATTTTAATAACAGCAGCGTTAATTAAAGGGAAGAAAATTCTGGAAAGCAAAAATCGTGGGATGAATGGAAACCAATTTCGTGGGAGTATTGTTGGTTTTTTAGATTTGTAAAATTAACTGTACTGATTTTGCTGATTTGTAGGGAGGAATGTTTTTTTTGTTTTTAATAACAACCACGTTAATTAAGGGGAAGGAAAAACCGGAAAGCTAAAATCGTGGGAGGATTGGAAACGATGGGAGTTTTGATATTTTTTTAAATTTCTAAAATTAACTATATTTTGCTGATTTTGTTGATTAAGCTGATTTATAGGTAGAAGAAACAAACTCCAACTTTTTTGGAGAGTTATCTTAATTTTTTACATATGTTAGCATAATGGGTATTCCACTTGGCAGACTAACATTGTTTTGCTTGTGTTATTCTATATAGATAGATGGTATAGTTTTTCAAACATGTTGCAATAGAATAACCCAACAAAATAGGAGAGTAGAAAGGAAACATCGTCACATTTTATATGTGGCGCGAGCATTATGTTTTCAAGGTAGTTTACCGATTGTGGCAGTACGTAGTGATATGGTGGTTTCTGAAAATGATATAAAAATAAGAGAAAATGTGATGGCCAGATCTCTGATGGTGGCCAAACTTTTCTGTGATGGTGTGTTGAGTTGAGAAGAAGAGGACTAAGATGTGGTGGCCACCGCAAACGAGAAGAAGGTGAGGGAGGAGGTGGTGGCTGAATTCATTGTGGTGGCAAGATTTTTGTGTGTGGTGGGGTGGAATGGCAGTAGGGTGGTGTTTAAAATGTTTTTTTCTTAAATTAAAAAAAAGGGTTCTTGAATTTCTCACGCACCTAAGAGAAGAAAGTTTGTCATATCAGTTTTTTGTGTTTAATAGGCACACGTTAAGTGAGACTGGAGTATCTAATAGGTACAAGCCTCAGTTGTGAAAATTGTTGCCAAGTTAAAGGGGTGTTTAAGTACTTTGCCAATAGCTAATGTTCAAATTAGGGGTGTACAAAGGAAACCGACAAACCGCACCAACCCGATAATCCGAGTCAAACCGAGAAAAAAAAACCGACTATGGTTTGGTTTGAATTGGTTTGGTGTTGGAAAAAAAACCCGACCATAATTGGTTTGGTTTGGTTTGGTTTTAACTAAAGAAAGTCAAACCGAAACCAAACCAACCCGACATTATATATATAGAAATTTTAGATATATTTAATATATAAATATACTTATTGTGATGTAATTTATAAATATTTCTTAAAAAGTTTCATAATTTTATCTTTTAAGGTATTATTTCAAGGTTGGACTTAAAACTTTTGAATGTTCCAATAAGTTTTATAGCCATTAATATTAGTAAATTAAATAATGCTAACAAAAGCCCAAACCAAAATCAAATCAATAATAATGCTAACAAAAGACATTCAATTCAATACTACTAACGGGAATGTATTGAATATCTATTTTTGTTGCAATAATTTAGATAAAAATGCATAACCTATTTTTATTTTTTCTTTAGCGTTTAGTCATGTAATTAATACTCCCTTATTAGTCTACTTATTTTAGCATGACTTAGTACTTTTAGATTATGTTTATTTTTATTATGACTTTTTAATTAGCAATATTTATATTACATAATTTTATTGTCTTTATTGTTGAATATTTTAGGATAATGCCATGACACATCTCATATTTTGTATTATTTTCTTAGAAAGCACTTTATATAGTTGTATCTTACTAGGATTAAAGAAATATTTTGAGCACAAGTTATATGTTTTGTTCTACGAAGATTTTACCGGAAAAACCCCGAAAAAACCCGAATAACCCGAGAAAAATCGAGATTGAAAAACCCGAGCTTTATTGGTTTGGTTTGGTCTTTAGAATTAATAACCCGACACAATTGGTTTGGTTTGGTTTGGTAATTGTAAAATCTGAATCAACCCGACCTATGTACACCCCTAGTTCAAACTTTAAACTTCATTGAGACAGTGTATGCATACCTCAAATAAGCTGAACAGAATGAAATAGGATTTCAAATTTACAGAATAAGTTACAGTTGTTACCATGAATTAACAAAAGAAAAGTTGGTAATCAGCATCTGTAAGATGACATTTTTACTAGTGATGCTACTAAGAATATTACAATAGGATTGCTGCTTCTGTGCTCTTTTTTCCAGTCAGCTTCTCCTTTATGGCTTCCCAGAATGTGGGTATTGCAACCTCATCTGGAACTTCCTTAAATGATGGAAGGTAATTTACATCAACGATGACATGGTCACCAGTGCCTTCCTGGATCTGAAATTTCATTGAAAAGTTATATCACGAAGTGTGCTGCTCGAGCAATATTCTCTTTAGACATTATCACTCACTTCCGTTTTAGTTATTTCGGGTAAAATCCTCAGCTTGGACCAAGGATTTAGGAGCTGAGATTTTGGAACTTCTAGTTCAGAGTGAAACAAATTCATCCCCACATCCCAAAGACTAATATGCAACTACAAAACCAATCACGAAAGGGGCAACATAGGCAGAGAAGAGGGCCTGCTGATAGAGTTAAGTCTGTTTCTAGTATTTATTTATTTGTTTATTTTAACACTACATTGCTGATTGAAAAGCACAAGGCCCTCTCTTTACTGTGGACAAAACGCAGAATGACAACACTATAAAAGGGAGAGTCGCGGAAGAATTCATTTGTTATGGAGAGATCTTTCTCTATCTAGAGGTTGTTACTACTAAGAGCTTCGGCAAAACGATAGGGATAAACTATATGCATCATGTGCTTATCCACAATCACAGGGTCAACCTGGCTTATTTGCCAATGCAGCTCTGGCAAGATCATTGGACAATTCAGTCTTACCACAAGTAAAAGCATTTTAGAGGGATGTTTTATAGAGCATAAATTTAAGCAATGAATTTTATCATTAACAGCTACCAATGGAGGATCTTTTATATATTTATCTTCTTAGAAAATAAATGAAAACAAAAAACTAATCAACTAGAATATAGGTTGCAAGGGGTGAGGAATATGAAAGTACTCACCACAACATCAAAGCCAAAGATGGTAAGGTCAAGCACCCTTCTCAACCAATTTGCAGCATCAGTGACTAGCTCCTGATCAATTCGATTATTATCTTCATGTTGGCTCTTCTGCTGATTGTCTTTGTCAACAGGTAGAGATTTTAAGCTGCAAAAATAGGTCTTCTTAAGGCATAGAAAGTGCATAGAAAGTGCTTAAGGTGGTAAAATACCTATCAAAAAGTAATGGCTTCAGCTCCTTTTCTTCAGCTAACTTTATCAAGATATCTGCATTAGGTGTAGACTTCTTAATTGCGAAGAAAATCTTCTTCCCTACGACGTAAAACTTGAACATAGTGGATGAATGATCCACATATTCCTGCAGTTACACTTGAGTTCATATTTAACCCGAAGGAGAAAGCTAAAATTAGCAGGAAATAATTCATCTAGATGACAAATATGGAGATCCTTTCAACAATCAACAACGATGCAAACCAAAATGGACATGCAAATTAACTGTCCTTTGCACAACACAATGTGCTTCCGAAACACTCTCGCTAATCTAATCAGTATCTGATACAATCAAGCTGCCTACCCGTTGCCATTTGCATATAATGAAAGTGTCTTACATATCAGTGAGAAAATATGCAATACTTTTCACAAACGCACTAATGTAGAATGTTCAGTTCTACCATTCAAGTGGCTGATTAAAAGATAATGAGATATAGCCCTTTGCTTACCTGCACAATAGCTGGAAGAGGGACATTGAGGTCTTTGTAGCTGTCTGCCTTAAAGACAATAGCCTGCCCATTAAGAATTCAAGATAAGACTGCCATAATAGACAAATCACTTGTCAAATTAAAAAAAAGTTGCAAAATCAGTCGACAATTCACATGACAAATGAAAAAGAAAGGAAGATATATAAAGGCAAAGCTCAGAGCTGAAGCATAGACAGTCCATACAAGATTAAATTTTTCTATAACATCAAACGGAGGAATGCATAATGCCAAATTAAACCTTTTACAGAGTAAGAAGTTTAAAATATAAATGTAGAGAAGAAAGAGGGGAGACCAAGAATATTATTCATGCTGGATTGAGAACTCAGCATTACCATGCTGTGAGCATCAGCAACTCCACAAGCAACTTGGGGTTTTACAATGTTTGGAAGCGACAGTTTTGCATCGGCTAGCTTGTCTTCCAATTTGGGCTCACGAAAATCGACAACCTGCACGAAGAAGCACATGTTACATCAAATATCAACCAAGTAGAGAAAACTAATTTTCACATACCCACAGTTTTATATGATAAATGATGAGATGAGTAGTGGATTACCATGAACTTGTGTTCCAGCATTTCCTTTTATGTTTGGGTTCTAAGTTTGGTTTTAGAGCATTAGATCATGAGGCAAAAGGAACTTCACATTAACAACCGCATAAGAAGATCCTAATCTTGAAGCTATATAGGGATATAAATAAAATCTTGAAATTTTTGTGTTTAATTAGATTTTTCAACTTTAAATTTAACCTACCCGAGCTAAACAGTGATAAGAACAGAACAAAATGATTAACTTTATAGAAAAACAGTAAAAGGCAAACTCTTGAACGCTGTGTTCCAAACCTAATAATGACAGAAAAGAATGTTGTCCCCTCATATAGATGAATTATATTTCTTAGATTGCACCAAAATGCATCAGGGCAAATTTCAACTAGAAAGAAATTGGTCATAATGAAGAAACAACAAAAACCTGAAAAAGATGCATAAACATCTACATACTATATAGTTGAATATCAAACAAATGAGAGTCATGGGATTATAAAACCTGTGGCATACAATGCAATTAAAATGATTCTTCGTAGAATAACGTTTCCTTCCTATTGTACTGGTTTTATTGTCAGGTAAGGCCCTATGATAACCATATCAACTACTTGTCTGGTCAAATTCCATTGTAAAAGCAATTTTATCCCAACAAAGCAAGATTGATTCAGATTGGGCTTTCTTTTACAAGCCAAAAAGCTGACTAATCTTTCTCACAGAAAGTGGGAAAAGCCTTAAACTGACTCCTGGACCAACCACACTGATCCACTAATGTTATCTCCATTTAAAAACTCCATCACCTCAGATTGCAGAAACTCTATATCACTTGATCCCACTCAAAACACATTGTTAAAATAAGATCCTGATAACTGTAAATTATGACTCCTGGTCTGTGGTCATATGCTTGTGGGAATTGAGACCCCAAAATAGGGCCTTGCTTAACATAGCTTCTGGAAAGTAGGCTGCTGAATGAAGAAAATTAAGAAACAGATGAAGCAATCATGAAAGATCAATAAGGAAAAGATTAGGGATTGAAGTCTCAAAGATTTCACAGGTTTTTCTAAAGATAATATAAGCATAACATGGGTTACATTTAGCAAAAAGGACCTTTAGAAAATGGGGACCCCTGATTTTACTGCAGCTTTTGGTGTTAAGATTTTCCAAACCACCTAGAATCTGCTGTATTTTCAACCTATCAAGAACAGGATAAATGTTGCTGAATGGGTCAATCACACAACAGTCAGGATGGCATCTGATGTACCTGAGCAGAAAATAATTGCAGGAGTTTTAGTGAAATTTAAACCAACTCTCTGGCATGAAACTCAAACAGAGTTTCTAAAAAGTTCACAAACTTGCATCCAATTTACAGAAATTATTTCAACCATCATCACCAGTTCAAGCTGAAAACAACGTGGCGCAATGCATGTTTCAGATATAGAGACAGATGCCATAAACAATCAGACAAAAAAAGAACATGCAAAAATATTAAAGATGTCATTCGGCTGCTTCGGAAGAAAGTCATTTCCATCAAGAAAGTACAAGGATCTACGAACAGCATCCACATTTTGTTATCAACAGATGAATCAATATCAAAGAGGCTATGAGAGAATGAATGAAAGCATTAAATCTTTTTGATTGCTCCAAGTCATCATGACCCTTGCAGAGCAGTTCTAAGGTAAAGTGAGAAAAAAATTTTAACTGAAAGGGCATATAGCTCTCTGATCTAAACATGGACTAGGGGCAAATAGTTAGAGCTAGCTACAACTTTCTTAACATCTGCTTCTTCTTATTAATAATATTTATCTTTTGGCTTCTTAGTTCTAGCTCAAACAATAGGGTTTCTTTGCACTCATAGCAGTCCTCTGTAGGCTCCATTGATTTCCTTGAACAACTTAAAGCTTCGACATGTTGATTAAAGATGAGCTTAGTTGGGTAGACTTCCAATGTCTGGTATATAACTATGAAATTTATCTCGTTCAGTTGTCAAAATAGATGGTGCTAAGGCGATTCACAGAAAGAAATGACAAAAATCATCGAGATTCTAATCAGGTAGTTGCAACAGAAGTTTTAAGGTGATTAAAGGAGAGATAGTAAGGAATGTTCACCCTTTTTTCTATTCTGCAGTAAATTATTAACCGATAATAAGTTAATAGCAGGAAGTCACCTTTGTAACTGTTCCATGCCCTCTGTATAAGTAACTTTGTTTTCAAAATCTGAAGAGCTGCTCATTTCAACAGCAATGATGTCATCAGTTGATTTATGTAGAACGCCGTCAACTTCTTTTAACTGCCATGATATAGGGAGCTCGTAGTTAAGAGCCACAAAAGTTAACCCGTTTGGTGTAGGATTTAAGGGGAATGCACCTCTCTGCAAAGCATAAAGAACATGTCAATTTCCAAGTATAACATAGGGTGAAAAAGCTTCACATTAGGATCCTTCCTTAGTCAAGTACAAAGCACTAGTAATATTCCATCATTTACACCAGCTTAAAAATCCTACTTTAAATATTGGGAAAAGGGTCAAAATTGCCCCTCTACTATTGTTTATTGGTTGCTTGTGCCACCCTTTACACTTTTCGGCCATTCTCGTCCCTACCGTTAACAAAGTTTGCAAAATTATCCCTAACCCTAACGTCCCTCCACTGTGGCAGCTGACCCCATCAATTTTATCCACATCAGCTTCCATGTTAGCTGCCATGTCATCGACCCCACCAAATTAAAACCCTAACATAAAAGACCCCCCCCCCCCCCCCACTCCTCACCTCTCCACCCTCTCTCATCTTCTCTCCCTCACCTCATACCAAAATCGCTGGAAACCATGGCATTTCGCCGGAAAATTTTCAACGGGCAGAACTAACCTCCACGGTACTGGCTCCCCTCTTCATCTCCTTTCTCCTTCTTCATGTTTCGTCATTCAAACAGCAACCCCGTTCTCCGGCAAGAAATTCAAATCAACTCACACAGACAAAGACCCTTCATTCTCCCTCAGAATCTTTCAAGAAACATTCTCATGATTGATACAAATAATTTTCAAACCTACGACCATTCAATATTAGAACAACTTCTAAAAGAAATTTTCAAATATGAAACTCTTAAAGTTCAACAATGGTGAAGCCGATGAACCACGTTTAAAGTTAATTTTCAACTGGGTTTTACAAAATTTCAGTCCTATAACAGTTACCAAATCAATCCTCAAATTTTAATTCAACCTCATATGCATAAAATCCCAACCCAGGATGAGGCTTTAAATTTTCGATAATGGGCTTCCAAATCTCTTACTTGAATCTGACCCATCAGTAATGACACATGAATTTAATTCAAAATCTGAAAATTCAAATATAATCATGTTATTTCATTTTGGCTAGATTGTTTGTTGGATTTTCTGGTTCAGGTTGAAATTGGTATGAAGGAGGTGACATGGTGATTTGATGAGGAAGAAAGAGATGTAAAGTAAAAGAGAAAGAAGGTGGAATAAAAATAGAAGTAAAAATGAAAAATAAACGGATTTGGAAGGGAAATAGGTCTGGTATGGTCTATGGATTAAAAAATGGTGGATTTTAAGTTGGAATCAGGTATTAAATTTAAGGGTGAGTGAATGGCCCCATAAACTTGACCCATTCTATGGTGAATGACATAGTGTCATCTGACTTGACCCATTTTATTTGAGGATTAAATTACTTCCCATGCTGACATGGCATTTTATTTGGTGGGACCTGCTGACTTGGCTGCTGACATGGACAAAATATTAGAGGGGTCAGCTGCCACAGTGGAGGGACGTTAGGATTAGGGGTAATTTTTGCAAACTTTGTTAACGGTAGGGACGAGAATGGCCGAAAAGTGTAACGGGTGGCACAAGCAACCAATAAATAATAGTAGAGGGGCAATTTTGACCCTTTGCCCTTAAATATTTGAAGCCGGGTCATGGAGAAGACATATACAAGGGATCGATTATTTGAGAAGATGCAAGAAGTTTGGATGCCTGACGACCAGAACTGACCTTGGCAAAATCTTCTTCACGAGAAGGCTTCATCAAGTAACCAACTATCTTGACTTCCTTGCCCATCGCCTGCTTCTTCCAACAGCAAATAAAGAAACCGTTAGAACATTAATCATCACTCTGTCAAACAATTCTTAAAGGATACAAGTCTTTTTTCCTGTATTTATCTATGACTTAAGAGTTTAGTATGGTTTAGATGAAATTAAAAGGGCTCTAGAGTGCCTGCCAGTGAACAAATAAATAAAAGGAAATCTGTTGCCCGAATATGTTTCTTATGCATCAGTAATGGCATTTTAATCAGCTGCAATTTCCCAATAAAGATTCTTGGTTTCTTGAAACCTTTAGAAGATGAATATTCACTCTGTCAAACAATTCCTAAGGGATACAAATTTATTTCTCCAGTATTTAACTGTAATTTAAGAGTTCAGTATGGTTTATATGGAATTAAAATGGCTCTAGTGTGCTTGCCCGTGAATAAATAAATAAAAGGAATCTGTTCACGAAATATGTTTCTTATGCATCAGTAACAGCATTTTAATCGGCTGCGATTTCCCACTAAAGATTATTTTTTGATGCTTGCTTTGGATAGGATTCATCCAGCTGCAGCAGAAGCTATGTTAACAACTTTTAGAAATCAAACTCTTCCACATATCTGGACATATCCTCTTCCTCCAATTTGCATTCTTTCTACTCTAGACTAACCATATACGAGGATCATACCAGGAATCAAAAGCCTCAGCAAAATCTGAAGCCATCTTAAAAAAGCCCCTCAAGAATTAATCGGATGCCATAATGATCAGCAGTTAAGCTAATCATGAGCAACCAATTCATATGGAATTTAAGAGAGCTGCAAAAGTAATTAATGGTGGGGATTTTTAGCAAATCTTGTGTTTATCCAAAGACATGCACCACCATTCCATAAATTCATCAAAAATTGGAGGGTCGTGGTCATCATGTACCCATGCGAATGAACCTACCAGCTCTTTGACCCGCGGGTGCGAATCGGTAGCTGTGAAACTAGCTCTGGCTTGATGACTGCTTTACTTTTAGCTTTCACCATAAACACTAAATAATCACCATAGCCCAACCATCCAACCCAAAAAGATGAAAAGAAAAAACTAAAACTGACACTAAAGTAATCAGCAACAAAATACATTGATCAAGTTAGACGTCCTTTCCAGTCCAATAAACAACTGCATAACCCTCATTGACCACAGTGAAAAGGAGAGGGAGGTAAGAATTTCATGCACTATAGCTGCAGATATTGGGGAAAAGTGGAGATAGAAAGCAAAAGGATGGCCTGTTCGTCATGGTGACAGAATCTGGCTCATATGTACGCATAGTAGCACCAACTTTCTGAAAAAAATGGTGGATCAAATGGTCTAGCAAATGACATAATAGTATACTCCATGCTGAGAGCCAAGAGGGAAATACAACAGAGATTTGGCAACAAGGTGCAGCCTTTCGGAGAAAAGTAACTGTAGCTAGTACGATCTCCAAGAGGGAGGGTGAAGGGCCGACATCATCATATCACCATATGAGTGAGGATTATAGAGAAATATTATGGGGAAGGGGGTGGGGGTGTTTAGTAACGACATCATTTAAAGCATGAACTGGAAATAACATAAGTTTGACTTTTTGTAAGCATACTTGGAGTAGTAACGACACCCTCGGTCATGTCCTTCCGACAATCTTTAGCAAATTGAGCTAGAAAGCTATTGCAATCACTCCAGTACATCGGGCACAAAACAGTGGAGCTTCTTTTGTTTTTATGATCACGGTGTCCGGGCTAGCTTGCACGCACCTCGACTAATTCCACGGGATACCTGCTACCTCCCACCTCCCACCAGCAACATGTAACTCTGTCTAACAAGGCTTGAACATGGAGATATCACCTAGTGCTTTTGCCTCCGCTGGGGTTTGGACCTGAGACCTCATGGTTCTTAACTCATTTCATTGACCACTAGGCCACACCCTTGGTTGATAGACAGTGGAACTTTTCGAATTTAAGATTCTAGAGAAACTTATAGGATAGGGAGATATATGAGTTACAAATGTCATGGAATTACTATACAAGCAAAGCATTACATGCAGACCAGGATGCCTAGAAATGAAATGGGAGGGGAAGCGAAATTAGTTCGATGAAGTCCTTCCACCAACTATTAAGGACAAAAGATACAATGTTTCCACACCCATCCATGTAGATTCCCAGCACCGAAGAAGGGAAAATCTCTCACTTGGCCAATAACAAGGGTTCTGCAAGGGCACCCATCTATACAGCCCCCCCCCCCCCGAACCAAAAAAAAAATCACTTAAAGGATGCTGGTTAATTACGAAGGAAATTCTTTCTTAATCTAGGGAGTTCCTTTTCGTTAAGCGCATTGAACCAGGAGTGGACATTATCATCATCTGCAGAAAAATCCAGATTCTCTTTCATCATTAGCTAAAGTGGAATAGTATGACTGGCTTTCCGGAAAATAAGACGAAACCCGCTTTATCGATATGATAAACATGTGCTCAAAAAGACCTCCTAAACCCCCGCCAAGCGATCGAGTTTAGTCTGATTTTGCTGTAGAAGTAGCTCCTGCTCCAGACTGACTTCAAGCAAAGAAAGGATTTGGCAATTCCGCAGGTTCTTATGTTTACCTTATTATTAAGGGGAAAGGGCTTTTTATAGATGTTGAGGGGGCATTCTTACATCTGAATACGGGGAAAAGAAAGATAACATATCTTAGCTGGTGATACATGGGGTGTTACATTGTAGACGCTCGGGAGAAGACGTCGACCACTAGTTGTTAAACTACCAGGTTTCTAGTCATTTATGGTGGACGGTACTGAATCTGTTCGGAATACAGTAGGCAATGTCGGTTATAACCAAGGATGTGATGTTCATGTAGGTTTTTTAGAAGAAGGAAAGAAGACGTAGATGTAACCCCTTTCACCATCATGTCAGTACTTCGGAAGTGAAAACTAAAAAATTTCAAAGTGTGAAAATTGATATTTCTACAAATGAGGAACTGTCTTTTGTTTCTTGTCAATTTTTGGTACAACATGAGCTTCATGTTAGTATAGATGATCCAGGGTTAGTTGTATAGAACCAAACATCCGTGATACAACATGAGGTTCACATTAGTATAGATGATTAGGGGTTATTTGTATAGAACCATACATCCACACCTCTATGTAGGCTCTGTACTTTTGTATGCCACTTGTATAGCGGGATTCTCCTGCCACATTAATAAAATTATTACTTTACTAATAAAGGTAAAAAAGTTCCTGTTGAAAGCCAGAGGATGCCATGGAAGCTGGCCTGGAGAAAATTTCATGATACAAACTAACAGTAGCTTCAGCAAGGAATAAATGCCCAAATGTTTCTGTTGATGATTTGCTTCAGTTACTATTGCATTTTTTTAGCATAATAAGTTAGCTTAATTTTAGGATAAATCTACTTTTTTGAATTTAAATTTTAGTTTGATTTTTTAGGTTTGTTGAGATATTTTAGTTTTTTTGAATTCTTGTTATGCAGATTTTTCTGCAGATTATGTTCCTGTTTGGCTATTTAAAGCCTTGTTATGATTTTGCTGTAGAAGTAGCTCCTGCTCCAGACTGACTTCAAGCAAAGAAAGGATTGGGCAATTCCGCAGGTTCTTATGGTTACCTTATTATTAAGGGGAAAGGGCTTTTTATAGATGTTGAGGGGGCATTCTTACATCTGAATACGGGGAAAAGAAAGATAACATATCTTAGCTGGTGATACATGGGGTGTTACATTGTAGACGCTCGGGAGAAGACGTCGACCACTAGTTGTTAAACTACCAGGTTTCTAGTCATTTATGGTGGACGGTACTGAATCTGTTCGGAATACAGTAGGCAATGTCGGTTATAACCAAGGATGTGATGTTCATGTAGGTTTTTTAGAAGAAGGAAAGAAGACGTAGATGTAACCCCTTTCACCATCATGTCAGTACTTCGGAAGTGAAAACTAAAAAATTTCAAAGTGTGAAAATTGATATTTCTACAAATGAGGAACTGTCTTTTGTTTCTTGTCAATTTTTGGTACAACATGAGCTTCATGTTAGTATAGATGATCCAGGGTTAGTTGTATAGAACCAAACATCCGTGATACAACATGAGGTTCACATTAGTATAGATGATTAGGGGTTATTTGTATAGAACCATACATCCACACCTCTATGTAGGCTCTGTACTTTTGTATGCCACTTGTATAGCGGGATTCTCCTGCCACATTAATAAAATTATTACTTTACTAATAAAGGTAAAAAAGTTCCTGTTGAAAGCCAGAGGATGCCATGGAAGCTGGCCTGGAGAAAATTTCATGATACAAACTAACAGTAGCTTCAGCAAGGAATAAATGCCCAAATGTTTCTGTTGATGATTTGCTTCAGTTACTATTGCATTTTTTTAGCATAATAAGTTAGCTTAATTTTAGGATAAATCTACTTTTTTGAATTTAAATTTTAGTTTGATTTTTTAGGTTTGTTGAGATATTTTAGTTTTTTTTGAATTCTTGTTATGCAGATTTTTCTGCAGATTATGTTCCTGTTTGGCTATTTAAAGCCTTGTTATGCTTAATAAAATTATTGAGAGACATTTTCAATCAATACTTTTAATATTTTTGCTGCCCCATCTTTTAAAAAACCAACAGTTTCAGAGAAGCCATTATGGTGAAGTGATTATGCAGTTTCCCAGCAAAACTTTGTTTAAGCAGTTTAAGGATGCCAAATGCAAATGAGTACACAGTATTTCTTCTCACCTTCTTATTCAAACTGCAGATAGTCAGAGGCAATTCTTCAAGTTTGTTAATGAAAATCTTCCCTGGATTTTCAGTTCCAGGACTATATTCAACATCTGACATGAATGTAGAAATTTTAAGATTCAAAAGAAGATAACAATTTTACCACTTGAGAGAAGTCAACAAATTTCCTCAATATGGCATTGCAACAGAAATTCACAAGCTAGAATGAAAGAGTTCCCTAGAGAATGAGAAGGAAAATCCCTTAATATGCTTGAAACTAATTGTCTGAAGGGAAGATAGTTGTGAGCTTATACCTGACGGTTTTCCCGGAGATCCTGCAAAAATAGGTCAGGTGATGAGATGTTTGAAAGCACAGTACGTTAAAAGAATGAGAACAAACTTTCCACCCACAGTTACTACAGATATCAAACCTTTGGTCAATAATTATCATACCCACTCATCTCAATCAAAAAAATCATGCATATGTTGGTAAAGATTAAAGAATTTAGTTCGGTAACGTAAGGGATCTTAACTTCTTTGAGATAAGTGCAGCCTTTGAGAGTTTTGGAACCTTTTCATGGAGAACAAATTTGAAATCCAATCTGAGCTTCAAAAGGAACATTTTAAGTGCTAGGGTTTGGAGCGAAATACATTTGAAAGTAGGTTGCTTAAAAGCTAAAAACTATCAATCATTTAGTAACAATTATAGGAAACATCTTAAACTTTTTTCTCAGTAAACTTCATGTGGTTTCTTCTTAATTCTCTTTTCCTTTTTCTATAAGTTATCAGTGCTTATCAAAAAGAAAAAAGCACAAACTTTTCATGGCATTGGAACTCACGAAGAACGGTGAACAGCCAGTCAGAACTTATCAATGGGGAAATCTCCTCGTCCATGTAACTGGAAACTACATGCATATAACTTCCAGAATGATCGCCCCATGCTAGTGAAACCTCACTTACAAAGTTGTCTATGGCTGTTGACTGGAAGACAAAACAATTGTAGGAATATAATCTTGCTTTTTCTTGGAGCAGGTGCACCTATAACAAGCAGTTGCAACTGTTTGAGTTTGAATATTTCTGAAAAACAGTGCACATCATTACACTAGTGCCACTTTATAAGGTGAACAAAATTGGGATTTGAGAAGTTAAAGAAAATATAGCAAGGACCAAACTTTGGAGTAAAATGAAGAAATAGAAGGAAAAGGATATAAAAGCTATTGATGAGGACATTTCAAACCACTTCGATAGGCAGGGAAAGTATGAGACAGCAGGCGCAAAGTGCAAACATTTCTTTGCACAAAGCCATCTCAGTTAAAGAATATTGCACCAAAAAATACAAAAGAAAGCAATACAAAAACAGAAAGGCCATCACCTTAGAAGCAGAAAGATCAGGTCCATAAGATATACCCTGCATAAATTGAAATATATAACATTTCAGTCATACAATCAAACAATTCCTCCACTACCACAAATAATTAAAGGGAGAAAAACAATTCTCACAACCCACAAATCTAATTATTTCAGCAATGCAACATTTTTCCATAAAAGAATCAACTTTACCCAATTCAGAATAACACAAAATAACCAATATGACATAATTAGATAGAACAGTAATTAGTATCAAGCTATTGTAAAGAAAGCACTCAGAAGGCATACAACCACAAAGAAGACAAATGAAAGTCTCCTTTTGGGCATGTAACTTCTGAGTTCTGACAACTTATGTCTATGTGAGTTACAAACCTAGATAAGGAATGAGGGGTGGAAGAGATAACCCGATAAAGCAAAATGAATACATATGATTCATATAGTATTTGAGATTGAGACTTAGAGTGTGTTTGGTGTGGACGAATCCAATTTTCCCATGTTTGGTTGTAATGTTTTGGAAAATATTTTCCTTAAGAATACATTTTCCTCTAATTTCTGATTTCTCAAAAATGACAAGAAACTCTCTCATGCCATATCCACCTGTTGGTTCCCACCCTCCTACTGCCACTCCCACCCTGCTCAACCCGCCACGTCCCACTCTCACCCTCCACCCTCATCCCCACCTACCCACACCCTACCCCCGTACCCACCCCCACTCCAACCTCCAAAAGTTAGTTAATTTGTCACCAGAAAATTATTTTCTGCTTACTTCCTTAGTACCAAACACACCCTTAGTTGATTAATTGATCGATAGAATGATTGCCTGTGATCGCACCAATCCAAAAAATGTAGTCCAACTATAGTAACTGAACTGAATAGAGCATAATGCATACAGAAAATTCATAACACACCTAAATTTATAATTACAAAATGATTAATCATGATTTGTGACTTCGGGCCAATCAAGAATGAATTTTTGGGAATTCCACAATATATTGCAAGAATCTGAAAGAGGACAATAAAATGCAACAAAAGAAAGGTTGATATAGAGGAGTTTTCACATACCGTGAGGATTTTGGAGTATCGAAGCTTGCAAAGAACATAATCAGCTCCAGGCCCAAGAGAGACACTTCCATTTTCATCATCATTTTTATCGGCTGCCAACAGAACTGAAGCGTCCAGCACTATACCTTTCACCTCACACATCCTTCTCTCTCTCTCTCTCACTCTCTCTCACACACACACGCACACTGTGTTTCTCTTCTGCTTTCTCCAAAGTTTGCTTTTGCATAGAACTGCGTGAGTTTAACGTTCATCCAGCACAAAAGTGGAACTTTTCGGACTTTTCTGTAAGTTGCAAATGTTTGCTTAGGTCCCCAACTCTTTTTATCATGTCTATTACATCCTCGGTTTTTTATTTAAAAGGCCAAATACATATATAGCTCATTCAACTTGGCACCATTTTTTATTTTGGCATTTTATCTCTACCTTGTTTCATTTTGGCCCTCCAATTCTATTTTATATATTTTATTTTGGCTCTCCAACTCTATTTCTTATGTTTCACTGTAACACAAAAGCTGAAACCAGTGCAAAAAATGTAGTGCGTGTGTATATACAAATCTGAGGTGTAATAAATATCCAATTACATATTGCCACCTGATTTTTTCACCCACGTCAAACGGGTCAATACTAAAATACCCGAACCCGACTGTATTTTTTCATCCACTGTAGCCCTGTCTTCATTCTTTAAGTTCCAAAGATTTCATCTACCGATTTCATACCTGCCGACCATATTTTTTGTGGGTTTATCTCATCTAAACGGGCCAAGTACGAAATCGACAGATGAAAGCTTTGGAACTTAGAGAATGAAGATGGGTCAACAATGGATGAAAATACGGTCGGGTTCGGATATTTTAGTATTGACCCGTTTGACATGGATGAAAAAAGAGGAATTTTCAGAAATGACTTTTGTTTAGTGCCTATTAACTTCCTATAGCTACCATACACATAATTACTTTCCGTAGCTACCTTTCAGTTGCCATGGTAATGTATTCGAGCTATTGTATTCATGAAGACAGTAGTAAAAATCGGCTAAAAAACAGGGCAGTCCAGCTGTTCAGCCGTTGTATTCACATGTATTTATGTCATGTATTCATGAATACAACGTAATAATAGGTCTCTTCAGTTGTTTAATAACGAAAAGCTGCTAATTTAACGGGATACACTCCTAATATAACTCACCTAAATCAATTATAACACACAACATTATCAATCTAATTAATGAGAAGATTTATCAGACGCTAAACACCAAAAAACAGAGTATTCTTCAGAGTATCAGTCCCTTTTTTTTTCCTGATACAGTTCAAGAGTTTTTTCTTCATCCGACATTGTTCGATGCATTCAAGTTTATTTTGTATTCACAATATTTTGTTTATTTCTAATACATGGTATTACTGCTTTATTGAGTATATTTCACTGATTGTATTCATTGATTTTCTATTTATATTGAGAGTATTTATTTATTTCATTGTATTTGTTATTTTAAATACAGATGGATACAGCTAGGTTGAAAATACAGATGAATACAGTTAGATTTAATGCATAACTAATTAATGAATAACATCAAAATGGTAGAACTAACAATGTATTTAAAAATGTTGTTGTATGAACTCAAATACATATAAATACATCTAAATACAATAGTCAAAAATCACTGTGCAAAATAAAAATCAGTGTATACCTTATCGAATACATATAAATACATCTAAATACAAGAAGAGAAAACCATTGTATAAGTATGTGCCTTATCGAATACATATAAATACAAGAAGAGAAACCCACTGTACAAACTAAAAATTCCAAACCTAATCCTAATCTCATTAGCCGCTGCCACCGTCTCCTCTGTCCTTTCCTCTCCCATGTCAGCATTCAAAATTAATTCAGCAAAACACTGTACACTGGATAAAATCTCCTCTGTCAATACACTGGATAAAATCAAGTTGAGTTCTTTGACTTTATGGGTGATGGTGAAAAGGACCCAGACAATAACAGCGGATGAGAAACAACGTTTGAAGGGGAAATCAAGGTGGAGTTTTGATATGCTGCTGTTGTTACAGTGCAAGTTTATAAGGGATTTGTCAACAAATTTTCGCCATCACCCATCCGCAAAATCTACTCTAGGGTTTGAGAACAATCTAGAGAGAGAACCTGCAAATAAAGGAGAGAATCGTGGTTCAACAATGGGGAAGACAATGGCGCTGTGAGAGAGAGATCGTGTAGAGAGAAATAAGATATTATGCGGTGATTTTGGGAGAGAATAAACTGAAAGAATGAGAGAGAAAAATATTAGACAGTGTATTTAATGGCTTAACTGTAGGAAATGACCATAAATACATATTTTGCTATAAAAATTAAAAGGTAGCCATAGAAAATAATATTTTAAAAGGGTTTTTATTTATAAAAAATAGGGCGTAAAGCTTTGCTATAAGAGGTAAAATTTTCATGAAAAAACCAGGTAGCAATATTTAATTGGATATTTATTACACCTCTATACACACGCGCTATATTTTTTGCACTGGTTTCAGCTTTTCTGTTAAAGTGGAACATAAGATAGAGATGGAGAGCCAAAATGGAACATATAAAATAGAGTTGGAGGCTAAAATGGAACAAGGTAGAGATAGAGTGCCAAAATAAAAAATAGTACCAAGTTGAATGCGCTGTATATGTATTTGGCCTATTTAAAATGATCCTTACTCATTGTACCAAGTTTGGCTTCTGGGAGGCGCTTTTTAGTAAACTAGTCTTACGATACGTGTTTTTGTGCCCCCTCACTCCCCCTTTTTCAATAAATAAGCTCCGCGGGCTCCTCTCTGATAAGGAAGTAGATGAAATAATCTCAATTTTACGACAATCCGGTCCAGACCTCTCTGAATTCCAAGAAGGTGATTTACGGTCAACGCTATCTCACTCAAAAAGCATAACCCCGTTGACGAATAGAATATCTAAACTGAAGCCTGTTACCTGTGATGACCCAAAAGGTCGTCTCGTGTTTTAGGACCCAATTCGGGGTTCCGAGATCTTCAAAACCTCATTTTCTTTCTCCTCGATTTGCTTGCGCAGTCCGGGCGCGTTTTCGGAAAGCCTTTATGTGAAATTTGAGAAAAATATTGAGTTTTGCCTTTAAAATTGATTTAAGTTGACTTCGATTAACATTTTGAGAAAACAGACCCGGACCCATAATTTGATGGTCCCGGAGGGTCTGTAGTAAAATATGGGACTTGGGCGTATGCCCGGAATCAAATTCCAAGGTCCCTATCTCGAGAAATAAATTTTTGAAGAAAAATGTTAACTGAAAAATATAATAGTTTTTAGAAATTGAATAATGTTTGATCTCGTTTGTATCGGGCCCATATTTTGGTTCAGGAGCCCGGTACAGGTTTAATATGGTATTTAAGTCATGTATGTGAAATTTGGTGAGAAGCGGGACTGATTTGACGTGATTCGGACATCCGGTTGTGAAAATAGAAATTTCAAGTGTTCTTAAGGATTTCATGAGTTTTGGTGTTAAATCCGTTGTTTTAAATGTTATTTTGGCGATTTGATCGCACAAGCAAGTCTGTATGATATTTTTAGACTTGTGTGCATGTTTGGTTTGGAGCTCCGAGGGCTCGGGTGAGTTTTGAATAGGCTACGGAGTGTTTTGAAATTAAGAAAATTACTGGTATTGTAACGACCCGACCGGTCGTTTTGAGCTCTAGCGCGTCGTTCAGCATTTTGAGGCCATGAGCAGCTTCATTTCAGGTATTATGACTTATGCGCACGGTCGGAATTGAATTCCAGGAAGTTCGGAGTTGATTTGGAAAGAGAATTCTCATTTCGGAAGCTTTAAGTTGAAAGAATTGACTAAGATTGGATTTTTGAGTAAACGACCTCGGAATCGGGATTCGAAGGTTCCAGCAGGTTCGTATGATGATTTTAGACTTGGGCGTATGTCCGGATCGGGTTTTGGAAGACCCGAGAACGTTTCGGCACCTATTGTGGAAGTTAGCATTTTGGAAGAATTTTATAAGTTTGGGTTGAGGTGCATTTTAGTGTTATCAATGTCTGTTTAGGATTCTGAGGTGCATTTCAGTGTTATCAATGTCCATTTAGGATTCTGAGTCTGGGAATAGCTCCGTATGGTGATTCTGGTATTGGGAGCGCGATCGGAAGTGTATTCGGAGGTCCGTAGGTCATTTTAGAGTCATTTGGCTAAAGATAGAAATTTGAAGGTTTTGAGAAGTTTGACCGGAAGTGGACTTTTTGATATCGGGGTCGGATTCCGATTCCGGAAGTTGGAAGAGGTCCGTAATGTCGAATATGACGTGTGCAAAATTTGAGGTCAACCGGACGTGATTTGATAGGTTTCGGCATCGAATGTAGAAGTTTGGATTGAGGTGTGATTTGTGATTCCGGCGTTGTTTGTTGTGATTTGAGGCCTCGAGTAGGTCCGCAGCATGTTTTGGGACTGGTTGGCATGATTGGTTAGGGTCCCAGGGGCCTCGGGTGAATTCCGGATGGTTAACGGATCAATTTTGGAGTTTGAAGAAGAATTGAGATAGCTGATATCTGGTGTAACCGCACCTGTGAGGTTTTGGCCGCAGGTGCGGAGCCGCAGAAGCGACCAAGGGGTCGTATATGCGGTTTGGGCGAAGGGGTGCAGTGACCGCAGGTGCGGCACTTTAACCACAGATGCGGGAGCGCACCTGCGTTAAGGAGACCGCAGAAGCGATTTTTGGCCCTGATCCTGGGGCCACAGAAGCGGCACGTGCGCCGCAGAAGTGAGGGCCACAGGTGCGGCTTATGCACCGCAGGTGCGGAAAGGCTGGAGGCAGTGTGTTCTTTTAAAATCGGGAGATGGTCATTTTTCTCCCATTTTCAGTTGGTGTGGGCGACTTTGGAGAGCTTCAAGTGGGGGTTTTTCATCACCAACGACAAGGTAAGCTAACCCCACCTTTCTTGAGTTAAATATATTGATCATGTATGGATTTTAGCATGTAAATTGGTAGAAATTTGGGGGTTTGAGAAAAACCTAGAAGATTCGTATTCTTGGACTTTAACCACAATTTTGGTCATGAAATCGTGAGGTTATATATATTTGAGTTCGTGAGGTTATGGGTAAAGTTTATCTTCGAAAAATTTCGGAATCCGGGCACGTGGATGATTTTGTCAACGTTTCGATTGGGGTTAGGAATTGTTATAAATTGGATTATAATGGGTAGTTGATCTCATATTAATGAGTTTACATAATTATTGGCTAGTGTTGGAGCATTTTGCATCGATTTGAGTCTTCAGAAGGGCGTGG